TGAAAATAGCAGATATGGTAAACTCATAAGAAGAACCAATTAATACTATTATTCAATAAATGTTTAATGAGCAATTAGTCCCCTGTACTCAGCACAGCCAGGAAGAGCACTCTAAGACTTTCCAAAATACAGCTCTAGTATTACTATTATTAGATGAACATTATTAGATGAACATCCTCCAGTTAAAACAACATTTAAAAGGCTATGTAATGGAAGCAAAAACAAGCTTTCTCTGATGGGCTGCTAAAGCAGAATCTAAAATTTAATCTTTTTGGCACATCTGAACCCTGCAAAAAAGAGCCATATGTTAGGCTATAACCAAGCATTCCTAATATGCAATCTATCTAGTATCTCCACACTTGACTTGTCAAACGATGACTCTTCCAAGAAAAATATAAACTCGATGTTAATCACACTCCGTATCTACCAAAGTCAAATTTCTAATGTATAAATGGCTGATCAGCTTTCATCACTTCTAGAAAAAGTAATTCTCTAGAAGAGGGAGTGGGCAAAAGGGGGAAATCACAGCCGCTACCAATTAACATCAAATGATACAATTGGAAAACATTTATTTTTCCCAATGCAGGAAAACCTACTTATTAGCAGCTTTGAAGCAAGACAGCTAATACTCAGTTTCTATTGCTACTAATGTTTTTTTTTTTTTTGCAAAATTAATACTGTGGTATTTTAAATTGGCATGCAAATAATTTGTGCTCTCTTGTGCTACCCAGAAAGCAAGTCATGTGTTTTTGTTTCATCTAGTGATAAAAGCTAGTTTTGGGGTAGAAGAAAAGCTGTTCTCTAGGAGAACAAGTATTTCCAAAGTTAAAGTTAAGATATGCCAGGTATAGAAATTAAGTTAATTTAATTTAAAGGAAGTCAATTCTGATACACAACACATGTGTTAATTCAAATTATTCCCCTATCTTTCGTGATATGGCCATCAGATGGATTGCAATGCATTTGATGACTAAGAGTTAAACGTGTCAACCTGAAAATGGTATTTTAGCATAGGATCTGTAATAGGGCTGTTGAAATGACAACGTGTGACATGGCATCATTGCACAATTATTAGATAGACTGTCTAGGACCTAGGTAGTTAACACAGTCACTCCAATTGATTATTTCTTTCTGACAGATGGTGAAGAACATGAAAGAGTTGGGGATACAATTAGAAGTGCACTGGTAAAGATTAAGGCCATATTTGACACACATGAATAAGCTCTTGTTGAAGCTTATGCCACAGCAGTAGAAGAAGCAAAAGATTTATTTTTCTCTCAATCTACTGCTTCAGCACAATGTCATCCGGCCAAGTGAACCATTTCTTGCATTCTGAACCCTGCAGAGACTACAGGTGAATCTTCAGCAGTTCAATGTCAAATGTTTGTGCTATACTTTGAAAGTTACATCGCTCCTGCTTTCTCAAATTTAAATCTCCAAGCAAAGGACAGATTTTGAGAGGATACCTGATTGTGCAGTTTTAATAAATGATACAGAATTTTGCTGCTTTAAAATGTGGTTAAATTGGCTGGAGTGGCCAACTTGCTTGGATTTTCCCTACCTGGCTGTTAATGTGTGGTATAGTGTAATGAATATTGTGCTGGATTAGAACTAAGAAAACCCAAGTTGAAATCTACTATACGAATATTGATTGGATGACATTGGGCCAGCCTTGATCTAATCTGGTCCCAGATGATGTAGGGAAAAAGTTGGAGATGAGAGTGCCAGATATTCAATCTTGAACTTCAAGAGGAAAGGTGAAAAATAAATTTGAGCTGAAGAAGCTTGTTGGATGAGAAGCGAAATGTTTTCAAAGAAAGTCCAGTTGCCTCTTGAAAAAGCATCTTTGGGACAACCATGACCTAGATGACTGTGAATCTCCATAGACATGAAAAATAAATCTAACATACAAGCAAATAAATGAAATTGCCAAAGATTACTTGACTAACTGTGTTAATGGATATTGTGGATGATTCTTGAAAGAGACCATTCTCACTTTAATAAAAGAGTGTGGCTAAAGCTTATGTTAAATTATTTTGGATAATAATTAGTCGCATTTTGCATTTTTCAGGAAGATCTAAAGGAAATAGTAACTGTCCAACTATGTATTTCTTTCTAATTTAGAAAAAAAAGAGGAAAAAATGATGAGCTGTGGTAGCGCAGCTGTGGTTAGAATGCAGTATTGCAGACTAATTCTGCTGACTGCCAGTGGTTTGATCTTGACCTGCTCAAGGTTGACTCAGCCTTCTATCCTTCTGAGATTGGTAAATGAGAACCCAGAGAGTTTGGGAGCAATAGGATGACTCTGTAAACTGCTTAGAGAATGCTGTAAAGCACTATGAAGCGGTGTATAAGTCTAAATGCTCTTGCTATACTCTGTTGATTATGCTGACCCTTTTGATGATATTCAATACTGTTGATCAGGTCTCCTTCTAAGGCAGTTAACTAGATGAGAACATTGGGGGATTGCTCTGCAGTAAGTTCACTACTTGCTGATACTGCTGAGGCACTGTAACTCATATTTGGCCCATTGCTTTCTGTGGTATGTTTTAAACTTCTACATGAAACCATTCTGAGAGGTAATCTGATGGTATGTCACATCACATGAGAATGACACCCAGCTCTCTATATTTTCAACTCATTTCCAGGAGTATGGAAATCTTGAAGGAGTGACTAGAAAAAAATCATAGATTGGTTGTTCATTAACAAATGACTATGAGATGTTAAACTGGTTGGAACATGGATAAGAGAGTCTTCTGCAGTAGCATCTGCTACCAGAAGAATGATCTTTCAAGAGGGTTTTACATTGTCCTCTCCTTGCCTTTTGTTGAGCAATAAGAGTATTTGGATTTGGTTTGGTATTTCTTAACTCTCAGCTTGCTTTTGTTATGTTCTTCCAAGTACTGTATGGCTCTGTTTTTAGGTTCTGTGTGTGTGCAAGCTCTTGAAGTTGAAATACTATATCTAATATTTGCACTAGGGTTTTCCAACTAAAAATACATGACATGCATCTGATTATGGGTAGCAAAGCTGCATGAAGGTATCTATCTATTTATTCTCTCCTAAACAATGTAGGCAACACTAGGTATAGGATTAGGCTGCTAGTCCTGTCATGTTATATTCCTGGTATAAATAGAGATAATGCAAACATTATTAACTGTAATATGAAAAAGATGCTAAATTGATTCAAAATTAAAACCCAGGGAATTTCAAAATGGACAGTTACTCCATGTATAATATATGATGAGGATATGATTGATTTGAGTAATATAAAGGTTTCACTTTCTAGACCCAACTGACTCAATAAATATGTCTTGGGTATTTTTGTTGGTTTACAACTTGTCTTCTAATTTCTTCAAACATCCCAATTTCTTTCATAAGGAGGGAAAAATGACATATACTCTTAACTCAACATTGCTATTCTTTTTAGGATTTCCTAATTTTTTTGAGGAGGAAATGGGTGTTATAGTTGATTATAAAATCCAAGTAAATCACCTTTATACCCCTTTTCTGCCTGTTTCTAATTCTACTTTGATTCTTATATAATTCATTTTAACATGCAGACTTTCTACTTATGCACTGAATCTAACAAATAAAGCCAATCAGTTTAATATGATTATCCAAGATGATAACATGTCAGAGTTAAGAAGACAATATTTATCTGTACAAAGATATTTAGTTTATATTGTAACAGGTGGGAAAAGATACCATTATTTTTTTAAAAAAATGGTTCCTTCCTGAATCCACATACTTTTAAAGTAAATTAGTTAGCACCTCATCTGACTAAAAAAATTATTATTCAGAAAAAGTACAATTAGACTCATGTTGTTTAGACACATAGTCAAACACAGATCTCTACCCACAATGTAGAATTCAAATATTCTAAAAATTATCACAATAAGCAATCAAAGAACTAATTAAAGGAAATGCACCTGAATATTAGTCAAATAACATCATTCTGAAAATAAATAAAAATGTTGTTATATCTTTGCTATCCCAGACATATTTCCAAATTTCTTTACTTGTATAAGCTGTTTTATGTAAGCTTAACTGCTTAAGGTGGCTCTTATAAAGAACATTTATCCACACACTTAATAAGGACTCCAAACTTAGAAAAAGTTCATAAACAGTTGAAGTATTGTGAAATATATTTTCCAGAATTCCATCTTTGTGCAAGTGAAAGTCTGAAATCTATCACAAACATGAAGGTTTTACAATGCTATGACAATCCACTTTGGACAGGGTTTGGGGTCTTTTTGCTTTTTTTCAGTCTAAGTCAAGGTGTCAAACTGGTGGCCCGCGGGCCAGATGCATCATGCGCAGGCCACGCCTACCCCAGCTCCGCAAAGGAAAAAAACATTGCAATATGTCACATGACGCGATCGAGTTTGACACCCGTGGTCTAAATTTGTTTTTTTAAATATCTGCACATGCCATGATTAGCTGCTGCATTGCTAACTTTTCTCTCCTCTGCTTGTGACCTCATTTACCAGCAACTTTCACAACCAGTGAATGACATCAGTGACTAAATGTTGATTAAAACAAGATAGGGAGTACTTACTCCCTTTGACCAGAAAGAGCACAGCTCAATACAGCCATCGGTTAACCAAAAGGAATTACATGTCCGTATTGCTGGAACACATTACTTTCTACATTGACCTTGATAGGACAATTAATGTTCATTCAAAGTAAGCAGGATGGTGAAAAAAGGTGTGCTTTCTATCCTGAAATGATCATGCTGGTAACAGAAGGTCAATAGTATGACAAATTTCAATAACTACTCTATGGTAACAGGCTGTTGCATTTAGTCTGCAAGAATTGAATTGCTTGAAACCATTATACACAGATTAATACACCAATGACGTTCCCAAACAGAAAATACTAGTCATGCAAGCCACACTTGATTCTACTGCAAATATGTCAGTGAAGTGAACCTGAACTAGTGAGATTACTACATTCTGAAAAGCAAACACAGTCAAAGGACACAACCAGCCACGTACCCAGCCTCCATTGTCCTGGATCCAATTGTGCAGGTGCCTGTTCATGTACTCAGTCATCCATTCAGCAATACTGTCCACAAGAGGTGACATCTCCCGACTGACACTTTCCACACACAGCATGCCACCAAATTCAAAGAATGCCACAATCCTTCCCCAATTTACTCCGTCTCGGAACAGCTCTTCCACAACAGCCATGAAATGACTTCTGGCAGTGACTGGAGTCAAGTGCAGTTGACCAGACATCTGGGTAAAGTCCCTTTGATATCTTCGGGAAAACTCATCACCAGCTTGGCATAATGTGGAATAAACAACTTGGGGTACAGGATGTTCTTCAGTGGCAGCCAAGTTACTAACAGCAGCAGAAGGCAGAGGCACCAGTCCTCCAAGGGCAGGAAAGGTCCCAACAGCAGAAGAAACATTTTCTCTGTCTCCACTGGCAACCCAGTCATATCCTTTCTGTGACAGCTTGTAATGGATGTACCTCAGTACTATCTCCCGGTTACTGTAATCTCTTATCCCAGGATGAGCCATCATTTACAACAGAGTGCTGGGAGGGGAATAAAAAGAAAGACAAAATGTCCCCCTCCCCACCCAAAAATTAAAGCTGCCAGTAATAATAAGTGCCAGTGTTATATGGAATCCAGTTGCTTTGTTGTGTGTAGTTCCATTTGTGGAGGTGGGGTGAAGTCCTTAGATCTCAAATGTATTTCTGTCTTCCCAGTGTCTCTTCTTTCGTATATGATAGGGGATGAAGATCAGATTTAAAATGAAGCCAATATTGTATTCCACATGTAATATTTATTACAAAATTAATGTTCAGAATCCTTCCTTCCTTTGGGTTAAAATACATCTAAAAAGAAAAAAGATCAAATACCTTTTTTCAAAATCAGGTGCTTTTTTTCCCTCCATTCTAGATGCTGATCTAGAATAGGGAAGAAGATGCTGTGCATACATTTCAATTCTCCTCCCGCCCCTTCAAAATGATTTACAGATTAGAGCAGTTTCCAATGCAAATTCATGTAAAGCACATTTAACAAAACTCTTTTATTTTTTCTATAAAGAAAAGTTAACACAAAGTAAATTCCCTGTAGAAAATACTTACTTGAATTAGAAATGTTCTTTCCTGTCAAATGTCCTTACAGGAGAAAAAGCAAACAAAAAACTTCACAGGTTTCTTAAAATATTAAATACAAGGATTTTTTTGATGAGGATTCCAAAAAATAAAAATAAAGAAGCAAAAGAGGCCTTCAGCTCCTGTTGAATTAGCTTGATTTCCAAAAATATTTCTTGGATTTCTGTTTGGGTGACATTTCCAAAGATGTGTCAGAGCTCACAAATCCTGGTTCTGAAACTTCAGAAAAGGAGACCAAGCCAAAACAGAGGCAGCAGGGTTTGGGTAAAAATAAATTCTGAAAAGCATCAGAGAAATGCATTTTTCAGTTTAGGCTCTGGAATGAAGTAGGGTGCTCCAGGGCCATAGATTTTTTTCACCACCAACGTAGTTTCATTCAGACCACGGATCTTGAACCCAATACCCCTAAACCACCATCACCCATCATCATCATTCTCTGAAATTACACCACCCACCCTCCTCCCTTCTTCCACTGCTTAACTCCAGGAGGCAGACAGGCAGACAGACAGACCCACATCCATAATTGGGAAGGAGCCAAATAAGTCTCAAGCAAAAAAAAAAAGGCAAAGAGAAGAGGTGTCTGAAGTATTAATTGATCCTAATTATTCCCCCCTCCCCCCCACCACCCTCCCTCCCCGGTGCCCTTGGTACCCCGGGCAGCCTCGTAAAGCTTCCTAGTCACGAGGCGCCTCCTCCTTCTCCAGCGTCGGCTCCAGATTGGATGTGCTGCGTTCGGCGCGGAGGCTCCAGCTGCCGATGGGGAGGTCTCGGCGGCGGGGGAAGGCATAGTCAATGCGGCCGCACACGGGGGGGGAGGAGACTGAGGAGGGGAGCTCCCGACGCTTCAGGCTCGGCAAATGGGGCAGCCTTTCTTCTATCTAGCCCCACCTCGCTCTTCATTCAAGAAAAGGGGAGGGGGGGAGGGAGAGGAAGACGCAGAGGGAGGGCGCCAACTCTCGCCTTTTTCGCCGCTGCAGCCTCGGACGAGGCTCACACGGTTGTGCGGCTGACCTGCCTTTTCTCGACCTTGGAATTGCGTGCTTCTCCGCCAGGGCTTCAGGCTCCGATGGGTGGGTGGGTGGTCCACGACGAGGAAGGGTGGACCGGGGAAAAAAAAAAAAAAAAAGACAGGACGTTTCCCTTGGTTGCTTTTCATTCATGTTTATGGTTGGGATGGATCGACTTTGAAGCGGTCCCGGGATTGTTTTCAGAGCGAAAACGCCCTGAGAGAGGAAGGAGACATTGTGTCCCAAAGCGCCTTTTGGAGTTGTAACTGGCCGGGGCCCATCGCTGCGGCAGGTCAAGGACGCTTAGATCTCCAAAGAAGAAACTGAGGCCGAGAAAGAAGAGGAGGCACAACCTGCCGGGGACCACCCAGTAGCTTCCCATTATGGGAGCTACAAAATGCAACCCATCTCCAGCTTCACAAAAAAAAAAAAACGTTGGACTCTAAAGCGGGGTGGGGTGGGGGAATAATATAGTTGAGGAAGCGTGCTGTGTAACGTCCCAGCTGCCAAAAATATGTGCATCCAGTTTTTTGGGTTTTTTTTTTAAACCACTTAAGTTTAGGAAGTGTCGTCTCCCCCCCCCCAATTAAACAGCCACGATGAACCATCAGTGCAAATGTAGCTGCGTCTGCAAAGCGGAGGGAGGAGGGTGTCTCTGTCCTTCATAGTTCCTAATTGGTTTGAAGCAGGCATCTCCACGCAGTAGAGCCGATTTCCCACCCACCCCCCTTCCCCTCTGCCGGGGTCTCCCAGCAAAAGTTGCCCCTAGAAAAGCAGAGCGGGGGTGCGGAGAAGTCACCAAGGTGGGCTTGATGGGGATTGTCACGCGGTTTTTTGGGGGGGAGGGAAGGGGAGGAAATATTATTTGTATCAACAGGGTGCCACCTGCCGTCCAGCCTGAATGCCTTCCTCAGGCTGGAATCTGTCCTTGAATCTCCTTGCTCAGTTTATTCCCGCCTTTTCTTGAAAGGACTATATGTGTAATACTGTCAGGGTGTGGGTTGAGAAGAGCTGTGTAGTCTTCATCTGGTGGAAGGCGCCAAACCGAGCACTCCAATTCTGTTCTGGGTCTTGTGGTAAAAATGTTGTGGTCTAGGGCATATTATGCACCTTACATCCCGACTCTTAACAAAGCATCCTCCGGTACTAAAAAATAACGAGGGTTGTTGTTAAACCCCAGTTCTTATTGCTGCTCAGTTCTTCTGACTCCCCCCTCCTGACCTTCGCATTGTTGAAAATACGTTGGTGCACATTAGCAGATTATAATCTGGAAATAACACTTCAGATTTAGGCCAGCAGTGGCAAACGTAGGATGTGTGTTAAAAGTAACATGCCATGGCATTTTGGGTGATACACCAGCGCTCAACAACAACCAACTATTCTTGACAGTTCACCCCATTTTTGCACAATTTTGGGAGGCCGTGCAGGAATGAGGTGTTCTGCATTGCTTCTAGACATTGGTACAAGAGGGTCGTGCTTTCACACAGCCTCCAAAAAATGCATGAGAATGGAGTGCGCTTCTGCTTGGTTTTTGGAAGCTGCAGAAGAGCATTCTCTGAAGCTGCTTCAAGAACAAGTGTGTGATCTAGTGTGACTGGGAGCAGCTTTGGGTAGGCCAGAGGGTCTTTTTGTCAACAGACAACATCACCTGAAGGTAAGTGGCATACGGAAGATCCTGAGGACTGCTGGGCAATCATGCTGTTTCCCAAGGCTCATGCACCTTGGGAATAGCATGTACCTGGCTCCCTGCCACGTGGCAATGACCCTGCCTGAACTGCTTAACGTCATAGCCAAGGTGGCGGTTGATACCCCCAGACTTTTGGTCATGGGGGATTTCAACCTGCCATCTATCGGTGAAACGTCTGAGGTGGCTCGGGAGTTCATGGCTTCCATGACGGCCATGGACCTGACTCAGTTAATTCATGACCCTACTCACATGGGCGGGCCCACTCTGGACTTAGTTTTTATCTCTTGTCAATGGTCGAGTGGCCTTGATACAGGGGATATAGTCATCGAACCCTTGTCATGGTCTGACCACTAGCTCCTTCGACTTGACTTTCTAACCGCTACACCCCACCGCAGGGAGGCGGGACCAACTAGGTGGTTCCGCCCCAGGCACCTGATGGATCCTGATAGGTTCCAGATGGAGCTTGGGCCATTTCCTGAGACTCTGGCTCATGACTCAGCTGAAGACCTGGTGGCCGCTGGGGCTTTGGACCGCGTCGTGCCTTTGCGGCCTCTGACCCAGCATCAAACTCACCTAGCTCCTTGGTTCTCCGAGAAGCTGAGGGAGATGAAGCACCGGAAAAGACTCCAGGAGAGCAGTTGGAGGACCAGCCGTTCCGAATCCGACCGAACACTGGTGAGGTCTATATTAAGACCTACCTAGTGGTGATAAAAGCGGCAAAATCTAACTATTTTGCCACCCTTATTGCGTCATCAGATAATTGCCCAACCGCCCTGTTTAGGGTGACCCGCTTCCTCCTCCATCTGGGAGCGCGGGATGATCCCTTGCAGGGTCGAGCTGAGGATTTTGTGCAGTATCTGCATGACAAGATCGCTCAGATTCGGGAAGGCCTGGCTTCTGACTGGGTAAGTCCAGACGGACTGAGGCAGGTCTTGAGAGTGTTATCTGGGAGGAGTTCGATCCTGTGGCTCCCGAGGACGTGGACAGGATTCTGGGACGGCTGAACGCGACCACATGTTTATTGGACCCATGTCCCTCCTGGTTGGTGCTGGCTTCCCGGGAGGTTACACGAGGCTGGCTCCAGAGGATTATTAACGCTTCCTTGAGCGAGGGTGTCCTACCAGCCGCCTTGAAAGAAGCGGTGGTGAGGCCCCTCCTCAAGAAGCCCTCTCTGGATCCGGCTGTTTTGGCTAATTATCGTCCAGTCTCCAACCTTCGTTTTATTGCGAGGGGGCGTGGCAACTTCCACAGTACCTGGATGAAGCTGTCTATCTAGATCTGCTCCAGTCCGGCTTCAGGCCTGGGCATAGCACGGAAACGGCATTGGTCGCGTTGGTGGATGATCTCTGGAGGGCTCGGGATAGGGGTTGTTCCTCTATCCTGGTCCTGTTAGATCACTCAGCGGCTTTTGATACCATCGACCATGGTATGTTGCACCGGTTGGAGAGGTTGGGGGTGGGGGGCACCATTTCGCGGTGGTTCTCCTCCTACCTCTCTGACCAGTCGCAATCTGTGTTGGCAGGGGGGCAGTGGTCGACCCCGAGGCGCCTGGCTTGTGGGGTGCCGCAAGGGTTGGTCCTCTCGCCCCTTCTGTTCAACATTTATGTAAAGCCGCTGGGTGAGATCATCCGTGGCTTTGGGGTGGAGTTCCATCAGTACGCTGATGACACTCGGCTGTACATCTCCATCCCAGGCCACTCCAACAATGCCCTTGAAGTGATGTCCTGGTGCCTGGAGGCCCTGCGGGCCTAGATGGGGAGAAACAGGCTCCGACTCAACCCTTCCAAGACCGAGTGGCTGTGGCTTCCGGCGTCCCGATATAGCCAGCTGGTGCCATCGCTGGTTATTGGGGGCGAATCATTGGCCCCCACGGAAGGGGCTCGCAACTTGGGCGTCCTCTTGGATACCCAGCTGTCTTTAGAAGAGCATATGACGGCCGTGGCCAGGGGGGCTTTTTATCAGGTCCGCCTGATATGCCAGTTGCGTCCCTTTCTAGATCGGGACTCCCTACGCACGGTCACTCAGGGACCTCCCATGCGACGGGACGCTTCCATGTGACACCTCTCCTGCGCGAGCTGCACTGGCTTCCTGTGGTCTTCCAGGTGCACTTCAAGGTATTGGTGACCACCTTTAAAGCGCTCCATGGCTTAGGGCCGGGGTATTTACGAGACCGCCTTCTGCCGCCAATAGCCTCCCACGGCCAGTTCGCTTGCACAGAGAGGGCCTCCTCAGGGTGCCGTCGGCCAGACAATGTCGGCTGGCCCCCCAGGGGGAGAGCCTTCTCTGTGGCAGCACCTGCCCTCTGGAACGACCTACCCCCAGAGATACGCACGATACCAGACCTCCGGACTTTTCGTCGGGCCCTGAAAACACATCTATTTCATCTAGCTGGGCTGGCTTGATCCCATCCTTTCGGTTTTAATTTGTAATTGGTTTTAACTGGGTTGTTTTAAATCGATGGCCAAAATTATTTAATGTCTTTGAAACTGCTTTTAAATTTTATATGTTATGTTTTACCGTGGCTGTTCACCACCCTGAGTCCTGTTGGAGAAGGGCGGTATACAAATTAAATAAAATAAATTAATTAATTAAATAAAAAAGGTGACCTTTTTGAATGGCTGCTCTGGCATTAGTCTCTACTTCAGGCCCAGCCTCTGAGCTGCTGCAGAGTGCTGATGTTCAAGGTGGGCTTGATGGGATATTGAGATAGAAAATTGTTTCTCTTGTTGAGGGGAGGGTGTGGGCCACTGGCAGAGTTAAGTTAGGCCTTTTCCAAATTTTGACACATGGAGCCCAAAAGGTTTGCCATCACTGATTTAGGGTGTGAAATAGTCCCCTGAATATCAATAGCTCGGTTTATAACACAATATTAGATGGCCTAATACTGTGATGGCGAACCTATGGCACGTGT